CCCCTTGTATTATGTATTTACAAAAAATATGCATATCATTCAATAAACAGTTTGGCATTCCATAGTTAAACCAATAGTATTTGCCTGAAATAATTACAGGGAAAAAGTGTGTAAATTGCGTTTATCTCAAATTGGGGTTGCTGTGGGTTGGAACATTTTCACGTTTTATTTTGGTAAAAAATATCTTTTTCTCTAGAACATATTTAATAGCAAAAATGGATCAAGTATATGTGGATTGTCTATAGCAAAAAATTAGAAAATAATATATTATAATAAAAGATTTCAATTTATTTAGAACAGTGTTCGCAGCTTAAAAAAACAGTATGGATTAATCTAAAAGGTTTCAAATTACATGGAACATTTTTGCAGAAATAAAAAGGTGTAAAGATTTTGCAAAAACGTTCCAACCCACATGGATCATTTAAGAAACCATTAAATGTGCGTTTTATGAATTTAGTATAATGTTCCAAGACAAGTGGAACATTATAACGATATGTTATTCTATTAAGAGTTTTTAACAATATGTTTCAGTATGCATGTAATGTTTTTACTTTATTTTGAGTACACGTCCTTGGCATAATGGTGGGTTGGAACATTTGGGTTAAACTTTATTGATGAAACTAACCTAAAAATACTAGCATCTTTGTGTGCACATGATATAATATGTCAAAAATAGTACCCTGGTTATGGTAACTCATTTTCGAGTGACTTGTGGGTTGGAACGTTTTCGCGTAACTACGTCCAATTATATTCTGTATAGTATTAGAGAGCTTGTACATAGGTTACTTCTGAAAGGAATTGAAGTTTCTTTTATGTGGATACCATCACACAAAGGTATCACTGGAAACGAAATAGCTGATAGGACTGCACATGATGGGATCAATTCTATGGACGTGAGTTCCTTAATATCTGTACCTTTAACTGATTATTATACTGAAATACGGAAGGATATTTATCAATTGTGGAATAAATTGTGGAAACAAGATCAACAAAATAAAGGCAAATGGTATGGAAGCATACAAGAGAAGATACCTTCTAAGCCATGGTATGGAACGCTGAAAATAGCCAGCCGTGACTTTATCACCACAATAAATCGCCTGCGATTTGGCCACCACAAAACACCAGCTCATTTGGGAAAACTGAAGATAATATCTGATAGTATGTGCCCGTATTGTAATACTGCTACCGGTGACATACACATATATCATTTGATATTTGAATGCTGTCAATTTAGTATTCAACGGCTTTTATTAGCAAGCGAACTCTGTGAAATAAGTGAAAATGTAAATAATGTCTCCCGCCGCCTAGAAGACTACTTGTAAAATCCCAAGAATTTTCCTATACTATTCAAATATGTGAAAGCCACTATAATAAACATTTAGATAAAGAATCAGGAATAGACGAAGACGTGGCTTAAAAAACCAGCATCCAAGCCATAAAAATAAAAAAAAATTGACGTATATGTCATCTCTATACATGATCAAATGGGCATTGTTCTTTACTTCGGATGCGTTAAAATAACAAACATTGGTGTCGATTCTGCCATGATTCTCTAAACCTAAACTTAATTTTGACAACAGTGGTGCCAATTCTGGCGTGATTCTCTAAACTTATAACTAAATTTAACATCAGTCTCTCCTATTCATTCGGTATAGATAATGACAAGGATATACTACTGTCAAATTTAAGTTTAGGTTTAGAGAATCATCCTAGAATCGACACCACTGTATCCTTGTCATTCTCTATACTGAATGAAAAGGAGAGACGGAATTTAGTTTTAAGTTTAGAGAATCCTGCCAGAATCGACACCAGTGATTAGATAGCGAAGCGCTTCAGTGGAGTTCAAGCACTTCTTGATTGGGACACATTTTGAGCGTACGTGGTGTACTAATACTTACTATAAACTAAATTTTATCTAATAATTACTATAGACTGATTTATTATAATATATTTGTGATATTCAAATGGATGATCGATTTATTGTTGTTCGCGAAACAAAAAAAATCCCACTACAACACCTTGCACCATAGAGTAAACATTCTGCCTATGGGTTTTTTTACTGATATTTAGTGACCAATAGGGATGTCGAAAGTTGAAAAAAACATCGATATATCGATATATCGGACCAATTTTCCCAAAAATATATTTAGATCAGCCTAGCACAGTAATAATAACAATACAAATTATAATTAAAGAAAGAATTATCAAAGTACCAAATTGCCGCTACACTTCATGATAGTACAGTATCTCACGAAAGATGACATGACACGCGGAATAATAATGGAACGAAAATTATCTACCTAAAATAGACCCTATTTTCGAATGATGAAAATAATTGCAGGACCTCTCAGGTGCCATCTTTCGTAAACAAGACTAGACAGTCACACACTTCCACAGAATATAATGGAATTCAGCACAACCAATTCACCAGCGAAACATATTTACAAATCAAAGACAGTACTCAATACAGCACAGATCATAGATATGTTGAATATCATTAATCTGAGATCCAGTTACGATTTTTCCAGATACGAATTTAGTTGGATCGTGATATGCCGTTAATTATTAAAAAAATATCGTTTTTAAACGGTTTTATTTAGCTCACCCCGTTTGTTTTATTCTTGGGTCAAATTTAGTAATTCAAATTTCACCCTCTTCCTGTCAACCGATTAATCTGAAATTTTGTATACACTTTGGATTTTGGTGACAATACAATTATGTTTATTCATTATCATTATAAATTCAAGATGGCCGCCGCTACAAAATGGCGGATAATTTATGTTTTATTAATCCCATCAATATGGGTATCAAATGAAAGGGCTCAACAAGCAGAATACAATATACTATAAAAAATTGAAATCCAAGATGGCGGCCGCTACAAAATGGCGGATAACGTAGGTTTTATCAATCCCATCAATATGGGTATCAAATGAAAGGGCTCAATAAGCAGAATACAATATACTATAAAAAATTGAAATCCAAGATGGCGGCCGCTACAAAATGGTGGATAACACACCCGAAAGCCATACAGTTTCCAGCTAAGTACAATTACGGGACGGCTGAAAGAAGAATGTTGCCTTTAATACTATCATGGGCTTCTACAATACATAAAATGCAGGGCAGCACTGTGGATCACGCAGTCGTATACTTAGGTGCGAAACTGTTTGAAGAAGGTCAAGCCTACGTGGCTCTTAGTAGAGTAAGATCTTTGCAGGGACTACGTATAGAGGAGCTGGACTGCAATAAACTAACGGGCAAGAAACCTTGCAATAATGAAGCACTAAATGAATTAAACAGAATGCGAAATAAAAACTAAAAACTAGAAAATAAAAATAGGTAAACAAAATTTTTAAGTTAAACGGTTTTATGTTAAACATACTATGGTGTCGATTCTGGCATGATTCTCTAAAGCTAAACTTAAATTTGGCAACAGTGTATCTCTGTCATTCTCTATACAGACTGAAAAGGACAGACTGATGTCAAATTTAGTTTTAAGTTTAGAGAATCCTGCCAGAATCGACACCATTGCAATGTTTAAGATAAATGTACTAAAAACCAAAAAATAATAAAATAGATACAGTCGTGGGAATTATAAACATATGCATAGACTAGACTAAAATAAAAACGTGGGGCACGTCAATTGTCTACAAATTATCGACTTAATGTGCGATGGAAGAATAGTTTAATTCGTTGTTAGGCTGTTGGCCCGCAGACGGTGAGGAAATTACTATTTTCTTGCTACTATGTTTATAAATCCCACGACTGTATCTATTTTATTATTTTTTGGTTTTTAGTACATTTATCTTAAACATTGCAATGTATGTTTAACATAAAACCGTTTAACTTAAAAAGTTTTTTTACCTATTTTTTTGATACAAATTTCGATATTGGTTATTTTGTATCGATGTATCGATATATCGAATCAAAATATATCGGTTAAAAATGTCGATATATCAATCAAAAAATATCGATATCTTGATACATCGATATATTTTCAACAAGCCTAGTGACCAACCGAGTACCGATACAAGTACTTACTTCACGATACTACTTGTTACTCAGTCACTGTACGTCAGCAGATAAAATTTCACCAAGCTACAGAAACGCAAAGATGGAGTGTGTTCAAATCAAATCAATAAAATAACGACACTGACAGTCAAGGAATCAAGGAATATCAATCAAAATGGCCGGCTTGCTTATGGATGAACGATACGAGTAAATACAAGTAACTACTCGATACCAAGTACTTTTGGCATCGATACTTTAGAACTGTACCCCTGTCACGAACCAATATCGAATTCGTATCGTTTGCGAGTCCGAAATGTCAATGTCAAATGTGTACTGATTTTGACGTGACAACGTCTTAAATTAGGTTGCGGCTGGGAGTCACTTATGAAAAAGTGTAACGCTCGGTAACGTTACGATGAGTCTCTCGTGTTAAGTTTAAGTTTACATGTACAATGTTTTAGTAAACAAAATATATTTCTATAGTTAAAATTTGTGCAATTCTTATTTTCATTCAATTCCTTGTTCCTATTGTGCAATTTAATTATATTCATATCAATAAATATTCTACCGAGAAAAAGACGTTGTCACGTAAAATCTTCGCCCGTAAAACCGACTTTACAGGCAACCATTTTTAGTTCTCGTTACGTACTTTGTGCCGCTGCTGTTCAAGTTTCCATACAAAATTTGACATTGACATTTCGGTTTGCAAACCATTCGAATTCGATAATGGTTCGTGCTAGGGGTACAGTTCTAAAGTATCGATGCCAAAAGTACTTGGTATCGAGTAGTTACTTGTATTTACTCGTATCGTTCATCCATAAGCAAGCCGGCCATTTTGATTGATATTCCTTGATTCCTTGACTGTCAGTGTCGTTATTTTATTGATTTGATTTGAACACACTCCATCTTTGCGTTTCTGTAGCTTGGTGAAATTTTATCTGCTGACGTACAGTTTATATCAAAAATAGGTGTGTTATTCATGCGAAACCATTATGGCTAAATCAAGTAGTAATTTTAATGAAGATTTATTCGAGTATTTAAAGGTCAGTGAAGATGAGTATGAATCGAATGCTGTTGAAATTCCTTGTGAATTAGACGGTACACTTCTTTTATCAACACTGGTCGCTCAATTTCCTGGTGCATCTGGATTAAAATACCGACATCCTGAAAGTAAATCAGTCCGAGGTATACGTTTGAGCGATGGTAAGTTACATCCTCCTGGAGAAGCTGGATGGGGAAAACATCTCTATGTTTGCGTTTTTCCCAAAGAAAATAAGCGTAAAATGGAAGATGTGTCACCTGAAAACTCGGCTGCAAAAACTAAAAGGTTAGAAAAAAAGCTAACATGTTCAGATTTGATATGCCTTGGATTGCCTTGGAAATCGACAGAGGACTCAATCAAGCAGTACTTTGAACAATTCGGTGAAGTTGTCATGGTACAATTAAAGAGAGACAAAAATGGTTCCTTTAAAGGATTTGGCTTTATACGCTTTGCCACTTATGCTTCACAGATGAGAGCATTAGCTCAGCGGCACAATATTGATGGTAGATGGGTAGATGTGCGCATTCCCAATTCTAAAGAGGGTGTTGTTCCTCAAATGCCTTGCAAAGTGTTTGTTGGTAGATGTACAGAGGATATGACAGCTGATGACCTAAGAGAATATTTTTCAAAGTTTGGAGAAGTAACTGATGTGTTTGTGCCTCGACCTTTCCGGGCTTTTGGGTTTGTCACCTTTTTAGATCCTGAAGTAGCTCAAAGTCTTTGTGGCGAAGATCATGTTATTAAAGGTGCGTCGGTGTCAGTTTCTAGTGCTGCACCGAAAATAAAAAGTAAATCTAATCAGAACTGGAAAGAGGAGTCGTATGGTAATAATAACTGGGATGGCAATAGATCAGGTCCTTCAGGAGGTCCTAACAATAATGGAGGCAACAGTAATATTGACTCCTTAAATATGCAAAATTTGGGTATAAATCCTAATGGAGGCCCTCCAGCTAACTTCAATTTGCCAATCAGTCTTGTTGCTGCTGCTTTGAACCAGGCTGGTTGGGGTGGCTTTTTAGGTGGACCAAGTGGTAATCAAGGCCCCAATAACTGGCAAGGACCACCACAAGGCAGTTCTGGTAAAAACTGGAACAGTAATCAAAATTGGGGACAAAATGGACCACCAGCATCATGGAATCAAGGTGGCAGTCAAGGCTGGAATGGAGGTGGCAGTGGCGGTGGTAGTGGAGGTGGTAAGGGAGGCAACTGGAACCAAGGAAATAACTGGTCTAATGGTCAGGGAGGGTGGAATGGCAATGGCAGTGGAGGAGGTTCTGGACCTAATAGTGGATGGAACAACAAGCCCCTAACATGAGGTGAGGTGTGTTAAGGATTGTCATATCAGGGATGCCTGTTTGAATAGTTCAATCCATTACAATGAGTGTTGTAAATCTTATTCATATTATTTTAAAACTTGTCATTAGTTATAATTAAGTGATAGATTATCACAAAGTCTGTTATGTTATTTTGAATGCATAGGATTTTGATGCAGATTATACTAGAAGTAAAGTGACTAGAGCAGTGTGTAATATTATGATGTGGGGTGATGTGATTTTCAATAAAATAGTATGATCTTGAGATGGATGGTTTTATTTGCTTTTACTGAATGGAAATTTAAAAGAATCAAAACTGAGCACAGACTGATTTCTTAATGTGTTTTCAAGATCAAAGATTTGATGAATGTTATATTTGGCTGTGGATGGTTCCTAAAAGTAAAATTTTGAAATGAACCAACAGTATGCCATGATGTCATGTGGTATGCACATATGTGTGTGGGTATTTCTGTTCATGTAGCAGTATTGGTGCAATTTCCTGGAGTGAGATGAGCAACCCAGGGCAAGTGGGTTCTAAGGAAGAGAACAGCAGACAAGGGTGAGTGATTTGTGAAATTGTGGAATGATCTATGGTATAATGAGTGATTTACGTAATTATACTTTTTAAACAATAGATATTTTTATTTGGATCGCTTCTTAATGTAAAGTGTTCTTGATAGAGATGCTGGTGGTCAACATGTGTGTCCTTTGATATTGCCTGATTGACTATACCTAGATTTACTTTGATTTATATTTATATAAATTTTTCTAAATTAAAAATGCCCCATCGTTTATTTCATGGACGAAATTGAGGATTCCTTACAAAGAATGAAGAATACTGAGGTAGTGTGATTATGAAACATGGTTTCTATTGTTATTTTACCTATTTATTAAAATGAACATGATCAATTAAGTACATAAATGGTATGTACTAACATTTTAATTTTGAGAAAAAAATCATTTCAGATGTCAAAGTCCTGAAAGGTTTTTAATAAAAATTGTTGATCAACAGCAGGAGACTACTGTACAATGTTATACCATGCCATGCTTCACTATTAAAAGTGTGTTATGGCACCATGCTCCAGAATAGCACATAAGTGTGAGAGGAATCATATAGTATATGCATCAGACTACTAAGGTTTTTTTTTCACCTTTATTATGCAAAATTAATTTATACTATTATTCTTCAAAAAAAAAGTAAAATGTGCTTCTTGTTTTTTTTCAGGATATTGATAAGATCTTGCTGTTATGAAACATTTTTTTTTCAAATGAATGGTGGTGGTTAATGACAATCATTCTACATCAGCGGTACTCAAACTCGGCCCTCTAGCCCTCACGATGTCCACCTCCCTCTACACACCGCCATGCGCCACCACCAACGCCGGGTTGGGAAAAAATACCAAAGGATCTTCTTAAGTTATAAATAAAATTGAATAATTAGTTTCTTAAGTTATAAATAAAATTCAATAAAATTGATAATTTAAGAAGATTTTTCACTTTTACTACATGCAAAATATTCCAATTCCGAAAGTCCCAAAGTCCCAAATAGCACAGAAAAGAAATATTTGATTTAAAATAAAAACTGGCCTGTGTAGGGTTCCGCAGTTGCCTGTCTAACGACACACACCACGATATATTTGAGTAGGAATCTTTATTTTCTGTATCGGAAATTTAAAGAATCCATCAATGGTGTCGATTCTGGCACGATTCTCTATATCTAAACTTAAATTTGACAACAGTCTATTCTTGTTATTCTCTATACAGAATGAAAAGGAGGGACGGATGTTAAATTTAGTTTTAAGTTTAGAGAATCACACCAGAATTGGCACCATTATCAAACTATGCTCTCAACTAAAATATCCACTAATATCAAAGTCAAACTGAGTATCAAACTCAAAATCGATTCGATATTTTTTTATAATACCTACTAATGAAAAAATTAGCTTCAAAAAAAAGCTACGAAGCTTTTTACAGGAACAAGCAGTCTAGCTTAAACGTTAGTCGTCATTATTATGTATTAGTATGTATATTTATATATGTATGTATGTATAGTTATTTATATGTCAATAATTATTTACGTATGTGTGATTATATATATGAGTGCTTCATATTTATATAAATTCGTCTTTCTGTAATTGCCATGTAAGTTGTGCACCCTACCACTATTTATCCACAACACCCTATGGTTGACTGGTAGAGAATGCCTATGGCATTAAGTCCGCCTTTGTACACTTGTGCATTAAGTATAAATAAATAAATAATGATAACCTCTGATCTTTTCAAGTCAAGTGCTTAAATATGTCACCTGAATCTCCCCTGCCTGGGAGGAAAAAAAAGTCAGTACTTTCTTAAATGGTTTACCGACCCGTAATAAAATGCCAAGTTCTTTATATGATTTCTGAATTATATGGTCATAGTGATTTCTAAAGGTCCATTTATTGTCCATTATTATTCCTAGGTCTCTAATTCTTTCAACTCTATTTAGATTATGATCATTAAATTTGTACTTAATCAAAAAAGATGGGGTTGCGCTTACGTGTATATGTTATAACAGAACATTTGTCTAAATTTAAATAGAGGTGATTATAGGAGCAATAGTCAAATATATTTCATAATTCATTTTGAAATTTAAAACAGTCGTTTACATTTTGAATAATTTTATAAATTTTTGCGTCATCGGCGTAAATGACTATTACAAGTTTTGGCACAGTTTTCAATGTCGTTTATATATAAAATGAATAGAAGAGGCCCCAAATGCAAACCTTGGGGGACTCCAGAGGGTACGATTTTATAGTTAGAAATGAATCCCCCGATTGAAACAGCTTGGGAACGATTCGTTATATATGATAAAAGCTCTCGTGACTTATTTTATCAAAATTCATCTGTGTTTACAACTTTTGAACACAAAACTTGTTGAATAATATAATGCAATGGAATGAAAAAAATGAAGGGAAATCTTAATTAGCTCGACACAATACCACAAAACCGTTTTTGTTTCCAGTCATTGCTAGTGCTCCATCGGTTGTAATGCACACTTAATTTATATATTCGTAGCTTGTAGTTTTTTACAAAATTTAAGAAAACGTCATATGCCACGGATCTTTCCCTTCAGAGGAATGCTTGTCAAAAATTCTTCCTCAACCAACATGTCATTGAATACCATCCGAATAAAAATACACAGCTGGGCAGTGTCTGTCATATCGGTGGATTCGTCGAACTGTAAAGAAAAGTATGTACATTCCATGATATCATGTTTTAGTTTATCTCCCAATGTCCTGACTCATGACTTCAATACGCCTTGTCACAGTCGGATGAGATAACTGAAGTTCTCTAATAGCAGACATGATATCTGTTTTATTTTTAAAATCTCCAAATAAAGTCTCACCCGCTTCAATAAAAGCTTCCTTCACAACCGATCCATCTTCGAATGGTTTCTTGTGTTTTGCCAATATATGAGATATTTTAAATGACGCGATCGTAGCAGCTTTTGATAAATAAATAATGAACAGAAAACACCTGATATTTCTGACAGTAAAAAAGTGTTCATTAATAAATATAACATTCATAATCAACATTTAATTAAAAAGATAGAAATCTTAAGCAATTTAAAAGTATGGTACTTTTCAGATTTGTAACAAAATAAACCTACTTTTCTTGAATTTTAGTCATTAAAAACGTTATACCCACTTTCGTTAACTTGAACCTAACATGCGGTTAACGGCGGCCATTGGCATGCTTCACTTAAGATTAGACGAAGTTACGTCAGTCTTTTTTACAGTAGCCTTAGTAAGAGTTTTACAATTACGAAAACTATGACAGTGTTTAAATTCTATCATTAAATCATTGTGGAGTCCTACCTGTACATGATCAAGTGTGTTGTGCATTACTGATTGAAAACTATCACAATAAAGACTTTCTGAATGCCATCCAACGAAAGAAACTAACACGTAGTGCCTCAAAGATTATATTTGAAGTACCAAGGTATAGAAATCTGTATGGTAAACAGTTGCTTCAACACCAGATTCCTAAATTAATAAATATAAATAAATAAATAAATATTTCCAACACTCACACCAATTAGCCTAGCCCCAAAGTAAGCACTGTAAGGCTTGTGTTATGGGATGCTAGGGTAACGGATAGAATACATATACTGTACATATATAAGTATATTTATATAGAAATACATATTAAACATCCATGACTGGAGTACAAATGCTCGTATTCACCACACAAACATCTGCCCCCACCGGGATTCGAACCCGGGACCTCTTGAGTCGGCGACACCATGAAACCCGGCGTACAAACCACTCGGCCACGGAGGTCGTCTGCCAGAAACAATTAAAAATAAAATTAATCAAAGTAACATTAATTCCATTTTAAAAACATATTTTCTATCCCTTTTAATAACAAAAACCAATATCGACATGATTTAAAACTAAAACAAAATAATATGAAACACGAGATCAGCCCGTGTTTCCACTCTTTTGGTATATGGCTCTGCGCGGTGTTTGGCCAACAGCTACCTGGCTTTTCACTAAAGGCGGTGCGGTATATATAAAAAAATATTAATATCATTACCTCACCGATTAATGTCTGATGAATGAATGGTTTAATTTAAATTTGTTGATTGAGTAGACGTACCTGCGGGTCTTGATGGCGAACGGCAGTGTCCGGGAAAACCAATACTGGTTTATGAGACACTGTTATACACTTAAGATTATAATGTATTTCTTATTATATAATAAATAAAATAAAAATTTGTGTCTTCATAAATTTTAAGTATATTTGATTACTTTTCACCAAAATGGATATAGAAATATAATTTACAATTTGAAAACTATCATAGTTTTCGTGAGCTCAAACTCGTACTAAGGGTAAAGGTCTGTGGTTTCAAATAGGTATACACAGCACATACAGAATAATAGTGTTACACTTGAATAAAAAAAAATTTAACCTAAAATAAAAGATTTAAACCTACAAAATATCACACGCACACACAATCACAAACATGCACACAACGACGCTTTTATAGATGTTAGTGTTGGTATTTTTAGTGTATATTGTTACAAGTAATCATGTTCGAGGTGGGGCGCTAATAACTGCGACATAGTCTCTGACTAATGTAGTTATTAACGTTTAACATTGTATCTGTACAAACTATGTAATTGCAAATAAAGATTATTATTATTATTAAATACGGTCAAGCGAAAAGCACAATAAATAATCAATCACACTTCGTAATAATGTGGTCGCTAAATAAACTATGAAACAAAACAAAGAGAAAAATATACACTAGTACTAATAGTCACAGATTGGAAAGAATTTGAATATATCAGTTACTTACTGTCCTAATTCGATGGCGTCATCTATTCGTCTCAGGACACGCTTGATTGCTTGTGCTGGAAGTTCATCCTATTGGAAATAGGGTATTTGACAGTATTAAAAATAAAGTGCCAATTGTTAGCATCTGTGTTTAGAATGAATATTGGCAGGGGTTTTCACTATTTTTAGGGAAAATATTCATAATTTTACTAAAAACCCACGAGAAAGATAATAATTTTCTTATCTATTGTCACGTGACCCAAAACACTTGGGATTGGCGGAGCCTAAAAAAGCGTCACACGCAAGTAAACTTCCGGTTAAAGTGACATTACATTGTATCGTTTGACGTTTCAATAACAGTCGTGTGACGTCACACACCAGTGAGACGCCATTTGTCCAGAGAAACGTTTTCGCGGCAACTTGAAAATGGAATATTGATTTGGTATTTTTACTGAAATACACAACAGAATGATGAATATCCACTTTTTACGGACTCCATAAACATTAGTCAATAACGTAAGATCGTTTTCTAAAACTTGTCAAATACCCTATTATATCAACGCAATGGAATGATTCAACAAGATGGCGTTGCCATCAATATCCAAATTGTAAAGGTATCGATACTTGCCAAAAAGTACTCATTTAGGAAAAGTATCGCATACAAAGCATCGAGTACTAAAGTATCGGTATCGAAAGGAAAAGTACTTGATACCACAAAGTATCGATACTTTTTTCGTGTCCCTAGGCATGTGCCTAGGTGCGCGAGGGTACAGAGGGGCGCGCGGGCGGCATGCAAAAAAAAAATTTAGCAAAAAATTAATTGGGCCGGTAAGTAAGCCACCTACTTCATCAATCATCAACCCATGCTCGTCCACTGCTGGACATAGGTCTCCCCTAATGCACGCCTCTACTCCCGATTTTCTGCCACCTACTACACAATAAAAACTATTATTTTTGCTTACAACCTCAATTTGCTACTATTTATTACAAAAGATTGATTAATACAAATAAATTACAATATGTAATGAGGTGTCAAAGAAAATAGGATTGCAGTAATCGCCTTGCACAAGGTAGGTATGGAGCCGT